GGAAGAGCATTGATGTCAAACGAATATGCATCCTCATTCATCCTGATTTTTTTTTAAATCTACGTATTTTAGTCTCAAAACTACATGTTGTGGTCTTTCTTTTATGTATTGTGTTATGGCGTTTTGTGAAAATTCTGTATGTGATGGAGAAAAATAGGCATCATTTTCGGATTCAGCGTATAGGAATTACTGTAGAATATGTAAACATTTCAAGATAATAAAATCATCGCAGGCCTGTGTAATAAGTAGCGTCATACTCCACAAGCCATCAAGAGTTAAGCCAATAGCTAGCACTTCCTAATAAAGCACCTTTTTAACAGTTCAAACTATCCCTCTCACAAACAACGCCTATCCAGAATTATGAGATGTCCCGATGTTGGGCATCAGTTCTTCATTGTAATAATTTCAAATTCATTATTTCTTTGACTTGGATTTACATCTGAGACCTCTCTTATACCAGCGACTGTCTTACCAACTGAGTTAAAGAGCTAATACATTAGTACTTCCTAGTAAAGCGCTTTTTAACAACTCGTACTACCACAGTTGTTTCACAAGTGCGATCTTCAGAATGAGTTTGATTGCTCTTTATGTGTAATAAATTAAGATTAAATTTGGACTTAAAGTAATTATCCCAGCCTGTAGTTCAGTTTCTGGTATTTAGAGTACTTACGAGTTTAAATTATATATATATATTCTTATTATTTCAAATATTTTATTTTAGTTAAACATTATGGAAAATTAGCAAGTGTGTTGAGACTGCCAGCATACATTTTCCCCAGTTTTCCCTTCTTTTTTAGCTTAGTTTGTCAAAAAAAATTCAAACTTGTACAGATACATATGCTTTTAGAACGCCTGGAGACTTTCAAATATAGGAAATTCACATTATATGCAGTGCTGACTTTATTTCGTGTACTGATAGGAAAATACATTTCTTGTTTTCCAAGCTATCACGTGGTATTTCATGATAGGATGTATAAACTACTTCTTATAATAACCATTTCGTTATCAAACAGTTAAGACCAATGAAGTTAGTAGATAAATGACCAGTTTCTATGACTGGAGATGTTAGATAAGAATGTTAGGAGGTCGAAAACTTAGCTGAAAGAGAGTTGCAACCCTTACTTTCTGAACCATCAAATGATTTTTGGTGGCGCGTCATTTGTATGCCTTTTGATAATTCCTCGTACTATCTAGCTGAGTAATAATGGTATTTCTGAGGAGAAAACTGTCTGATACTTGCTAGTTGTATAGCTAGGGCAATTTATGCTATTAGATGTAATGCTAGAACATTTTCAGTCAGCAGGTCTGAAAATAAAGGCTAAATATTTCAATGTATCTAAAGGCTGGAAAGACTTTGCGAATCTTGTTTTCGTGACAAACATTGCAGGATGTTATCGAAAAGCACTTAAGATACAATGCCTTGCAAAAGTATTCACCCCCTGCAAAGTTTCCACATTTTGTTGTCGTCTGAGTTTGCAATCATGAAACTTTCAAGTGCGACTTTACATTTAGAATTTACACAATTTACTCCAAACTAAGAAATCTTAAAAAAAAAAAAACGCTGATTTTATGTAAGTAAGTTAGATTTTCAAAGGAAATTAGAATATTCTCAGTTGCATAAATATTCAACCCCTTTGCTTCGGAAACCCTAAATCAGTTCAGGTGCAAAATAATAGTTTGAAAGGTCACAAAATTAGTGCAATGGTCTCTGTCTGTGTTTGACTTGACTTCAGAGTAAATGATTCTATTCAAGCCACAACTCGCACAGTGATACAACAAACCAACCACCAACCATGAAGACCAAGGAGCTTTCCAAACAAGTCAGGGATAAAGTGGTAGAGAAGCACAGATCAGGAGAAGGTTACAATAAAATTTCAAAGTCGTAGATTATCCCTTTGAGTACAGTGAAATCCATCATTAAAAAGTGGAATGTGCTTCATACCACCCAGTCACTACCCAGATTAGGCCTCTTTTCCAAACTAAGCAGTGATTTTAAAAGATTTCAAAGTTCCATGTCTGAGATGGGAGTCAGTGTTCATACATCGACGATATCTCGGTCCCTACACAAAGCTGGCCTGGATGGGCGAGTGGCAAGAAAGAAGCCATTATTGAAAAAAAGAATCATCTTAAATCTCGTATAGAGTTTGTGGCAAAACATATAAATGATACTGCAGACATGTGGCAAAAGATTTTGTAGTCAGACGAGACTTTTATATAGGTAATTTCAAAATCTAAACAGAATTACTACACAAATGTATGGGATTTGTACAATACTTCCTCACGTACAAAGATGGAGCATGTTCTTAATCACCACGAATATAAAACAGGTTGTGATAAACATTAGTGTTTCACTAGATTTTGACCGTATTTATTTTTCTGTAGTGGTTGATTCAACCCACAGTCGCAGTACAAATAAGGACAGTACTCCACTAGTATTTTGGCCATCTAAGACAGTAATGCATTTTTACTGTTGAATATTGTACTTAGCCTGTGTCGGTTTAAGTGCAATGGGGGCAACTGGCCAGGGGCCCGGGCGAATGAAACTTGGTTATACCTAAAGCCCGCAAAGCATCTTTAGGCTATATCTTCATTTAATGATAAAAACCATAGTGTTTGGCTTTTCTTTGCATATAGACGCTTGATACATTAAGAACGACTGAAATAATAGTTTGAATAATAATTAATATGTATTTGTTACTTTATAAATTTAATAGATATTTGTTGTTATTTCTTAACGTTTTTACGCTTATACTGTGAGGTAAAAACGGCTGCTGTTATGATTTTGTCTGGTTTATGAGCTCGTAGCTGTCCTAATTTATGATCTTTTTAAAAAATTTTTGAAAATGTTAAAAACGAGATAGAGAAAGGGGACATGGCGAGGATGTTTGCCCCGGGGCCGTGCTGGCTCTCGACTATGCTAGAGTGGACAGCACCAATATTAATTCTGGTTTAAGAGATTGAGCTAAAAAGTCTTAGCGTTGCTGAAAGTGTGGCTATGACAGTAAAATCACATTATTTCATTAAATTATCGCGTGAACTGGTGTAGAGTAGCTGCCTTCTCTTTAATCTGTCACTTCAAAATTAGGGGCAGCTAGTCCTCTAGTAGTTTCACACGAAACAGAACAAAGAACGGCAGCAACTTTCGTTTGCTTGTCTGGAAGACTACAATTTGTTTGGTGACATTTGAAAGTTGCTTCAAAGTAACCAAACCCATGGGCTAATGACAAATGACTTAAGCTGATGGACAAAGGTCTTCTGTTAGCTGAAATGATTAACTTCCAGCCACTAACGGGCTCACCCTGGGGATATTAGAGCCAGTGCTAACTCCAAAGACTGTAAGAAACATTCCCATCTCAGGAGACACCTCCATTTGCTATCATGGACCCAAGCCTGTTCACATCTCGATCTCTGTGGGCAACTCCCACTGACCACTTCATAATAGTGAAAGGAAGGGACCATCGAATACGAAAAAAGATGAACTCGTTTTAAGTGTCTCATTGATAGTAGGAACAAAACCCGATACTGCACATATGGCTAATGTGACCACAACAACAGGAAGCCCAAGAGTCCTTTCTGGAACTCACATCTGAGTTTCACGAAAGTTTATTTGGAATGATATTCCTCTTCCAAGCAAGTTTCCTCTATCAACAGGAGAGCTTGAACCTTTTATGCCAGTCCTGTAAGCTGGGGGAGCAATCAACATAATTGGTTGAAAGATAGCAGATCCCAGAATTTCTGATGATGCTGCCAACTTCAAATTCTGCTCATTATACCTTAAAGCAGATTATGGTTCTCAAACAACATATTGGGCCAATTCCTGAGCAATATGCCAACAAGAAAAGAGTCAAGGGAGTGGCCAAGGCCAAGAGGGCTTTTCCAAGCTAGTACAAGAAATTTGCTAAGTTCAGATGGAGCTGGCCAAGAGCAAGTGAGCCTTGACATAAACATAGGAGCTACTCTGGAAGTCCACCTCCATCTATTGCTGTGCCACCATTGCTTTGGAGGGTCTATATTCAGACATGCAAGACTTCAGACTATTGCCGAGCGTAAGTATGCATGTAAAGTTTCTCTTATTTTGTCACTTTTTACCTTGATAGTGACTTTCTTTGAATTATGTGTATGCTTAAGGGTTTCTTTTATCATTTATTAAATACTTGCGATATCCTTTTTTTAGCCTGTATATAATAACTGACTTAGTTAGAAGGTTCTAAATTTATGCGAGTTCACAGATGAATATTCATTTACAGCTAATTTTGTTTGTTTGTTTCTGTAAATACGTATGTATTTCTCTACCCTTTTTTCATTGACTTAACGAAGGGTGTCATATTTTTCTACAAATGTATCGAATTGTGTGTGTGTGTGTATATATATATATATATATATATATATATATATATATACA